TTCTTTGCATGCTGGTAGGAGACAGGCATTTCCTCTATTTTCTGGTCATTTCCTGCATGATTGTAGTTACTTTTCTGTGCATTTTTCTATGAGGCTCACGTCACAGCAATAAAACAATCCTCATTTCATTCAAACTGTGATGGCTGACAGTGTGTTGAGGATATCAAGGGCTTGTTAGAACTGGTCTAGGAGAACAGCCCCAACAGTCTAAGGAGCAGGAAAGGATCGACAGTCTCCAGGAGATGGCAGCAGGGCGCCAGGCAGTGCCTGCTGGGTGCAACCCTTGTGCGGCTGATGGCAGAAGTCTCAAGATGGCAGCTGTCTCCGTCCATTTGTAGTTCTATAAAGGAATACCTGGGGCTGGGTAATTTATAAAGAAAAGAGGTTTATTTGGCTCATGGTTCTGCAGGCTGTACAAGAAGCGTAACATCAGCATCTGCTTCTGGTGACAGCTATAGGCTGCTTCCACTCATGGCGAAAGACAAAGAGGAGCTGGCAGGTGCAAGCACATGGTGAGAGAGAGGAGAGATGCTAGGCTTTGTTTTTTTTTTTTTTGTTTGTTTGTTTTTTTTTTTTTTTTAGATAGAGTCTTGCTCTGTTGCCTAGGCTGGAGTGCAGTGGCACGATCTCGGCTCACTGCAACCTCCACCTCCCGGTTCAAACGAATCTCCTGCCTCCGCCTCCCAAGTAGCAAGGACTACCACCATGCCCAGCTAATTTTTGTATTTTTAGTAGAGACAAGGTTTCGCCATATTGGCCAGGATGGTCTTTATCTCTTGACCTTGCGATCCGCTCGCCTCGGCCTTCCAAAGTGCTGGGATTACAGGCGTGAGCCACGGCACCCAGCCGCCAGGATTTTTTTTTTTTTTTTTTTTTTATAACAACCAGCTCTCATGGAAAATAATACAGCGGGAATTCTCTCATTACCACCAGGATGTCCTCAAGCCCTTCATGAATAATCTGTCTCCATGACTCAAACACTGCCCATTAGACCCTACCTCCAACATTGGGGATTAAATTTCAACTTGAGATTTGCAGGGACAAACATCCAAACTCGAGCAGCAGCTAAGGATAGCACTGGGGTTTCTGAATTTGTCTTTGCCAGGGAGCCACTAGGATAGGTGATGTATTTAAACTATTCCAAGACAGAATTCAGTGTTAATAGTTGCAGGCCAGGAACCAGAAGAAGAAAGAGCACCATAAGCTCAGGGTCAGTTTCTCAGAGGTTGGTTCCATTAGTGGACATGGGTGTAGGAGGAAAAGGATAGCTCTAGGAAGGTGGGAAATATCCAGTCATGCATCAAGAGCTAAGGTGATAGCTAGAAACCAGCCTCTCACAAAACAGCAGATGAAAAAGTGTGTGTCAGCACAAGCCAGAAAGATGACCGGTTTCTGTAGGAAGGAAATGGCAGTGGTTGGTTTTTAGGTCATTAGGTCAGGTTCAGGGCTCTGCCCTTTCTGGTACGTAAAGGACCCAGGCCCTGATAGACTGGGTCTTAATTTCATCCCGAGACTGGATGTTTCTTCATTCACATGTTCAATGAACAAAGATTTATTGAGCACCTACTATCTGTGTTATCAGCTTCCTGGACACAGAGTAATGAGAACCATGTGCTTGCTCTGAAGGAGCTCATCTTGACTCATTTAGTCCAGCAATACCTGATCAGCAAAGAACTTTGTTATTACATGAAACTATCATAATGTTATTATACAGACTATAATAATTTCCAGTGGAGACAGATTGGGATTTATTTCTCCAATGTAAAGCCCCAACGAATGGGATGCAAATCACCCTCGTCCAAGGACCCATCTGGTTTCTTGTGAAGGTCACTTAGCACCAAGTGGCCTGGAGGACATCAGCCCACAATTAGGAAGAGCCCCTTCTACTCAATGCCAAAGTTGGGAGATGTGGACCCAGCTGCAGCATGGCAAAAATGACCCTAAGTGATGGCTCCATCTTTTGGGTGGAAAAAGGGATCTGCAAACCTTCCTCCAACCCTGCCCTCATAACCATGACCTAGCTCTGCAAATCCAAACCCCAGAAAGGAAAATGCATTTGATAACGTGTAAAGGGAAGACTAAGACCCGGACTAGAGTAGGACAAGGGAGTGGGTAGAGGTGAAAATTCCAGCGGGCCTCTCCCTCAGGCTAGCTGCTTCTTACATTCTGTGCTCTAGGCCTCTCTTGCTGCACGTTTGTCCTGCCCTGGGGAAGAGACATAATCTAAACCCAGGATAGAAAAAATGTTTCTGGCTAAGCCCAGTGACTCATGCCTGTGATCCCAGCACTTTGGGAGGCTGAGGCGGGTGGATCACCTGAGGTCAGGAGTTTGAGATCAGCCTGGCTAACACGCAGAAACGCTGTCTCTACTAAAAACACAAAAGTTAGCCGGCATGGTGGCACATGCCTGTATTCCTAGCTACTCTGGAGGCTGAGGCAGGAGAATCACTTGAACCTGGGAGGTGGAGGTTGCAGTGAGCCGAGATCCCATCACTGTACTCCAGGCTGGGCAACAGAGTAAGACTCTGTCTCAATAAAAAGGAAAAATAAAAAATGTTTCTACTTCATCAAATCTTTTTTCTCTTTCAAGGGAAGTTCTTTTAACATTCAGGCTGGTGATCCTATGTGTGCAGTGGGTCCCAAAACACAGCAATCGTTGCAGTAAGCTTTTCACCATCACATAAGAAACAATGGGAAACCTTCCATTCTCTTTTGTGTAGTAGGAGGGAGACTTCCTACTACATACTGTTCAGTGTGCCCTTGACACTCACTGAAACATTCTGTCTTGTAAGAGAATCACTTCACGGCTAAAGAAATCGGGAGATTTGAGCTTTCCAGGCCTGGAACAGCAGCTCCTCAGGAAAACAGCATCATAGCTCCTAACTTCTTATCTGTAAAAGGCATGAGAGCTGTGTTATTCTTATCCTTCCTCCTTTACAGAGGAAAAAAGAAGGCGGAGGGGTTCTGGCATTTGACCACATCACAAACCAAGGAAATGACCGGGCCTGGATTTAGCCCAATCACTTTATTTCTGTCTTAACCCCAAACCAAAAGTATATGAGGCCCAAGAAAAGCTGGGGAGGCTGGCTGCTAGACACCCACCTCCTGCTAGACACTAAATTGAGCAAATCATTATTCTTAACAATAGGAAACATGGCTGCATGTTGCTATGTTAGAAAAGAAAACTGATTCAAACTCATTTTTGTTGATATGAAAACAAAAATGTAAAAAAAATATATATATATAAAAGAAATAGCAGAATGTATTGAGTTCGGTTAACAATGAAATAATTTAAAAATTAGTTTGTGCTCATAATTTCAGTCAGTAGAAAATATCTGGATCTCAGTTTTTCCAAAAAGCACTTTGACTTGTTGACTTTAGTGATGACTCAGGTGATATTGGAGTTATCTCTATTTCAGGTTTGGAAGATAAATAAAGGGTAAATGATTACACGGTTTCTAATCAGATGTTTTTCAGGGAAAATGCTAGTCAATGCAAGTAATCACATTCACCTTTCCTGCCAGTTTCTGTCACCAAACTTTGATATCTTCAAAGCAAGGCGAGTGAGTAGCACCCTTCGGACAAGAAGGAAAAGGGCAAGTGAAATCATCATCTTCTAATGAGCCCCATGCTGTGCTTGCTGATGTCCTCAGATGTGGAGATTCTCAGAAGAGCCATGGCCTGGGCCATTGAAGGTTACACAGAGGCCACTGGAGTCAAGTAACTCATTGTACCTTATCACATTTAGGCACTTCTTTAACCATCATGTGGATTACTGGGATTGGAATGAGTCCCTTCAACAATGAGTCAATATTGAAGATTCTATGGATCCATTTATGGACACATATTGGGTATTCCCTGGACACATTCACTAACTTCAAAACTGTTTCTTGGACATTGTGCTAGGTGCTAAGGAAACACAAATGAAAGGTAGAATTCTTGTCTTCCGGGTGCTCACTGTTGGGTCTGATGCCATACAACTGTTGTGAACACGCAAGACAAGTGTAGGCTGTGGTTCTTGCCCTCAGCCTGAGCAGCACAGTCCTGAGGTGGAAGCGTTTCCAGATGACAGCAGTGTCCATGTCTTAGTTACTTTCGATTCCCAGCACCTGCCTGCTGCACAGCACCACTGGGCCCCAAACCTGACCACTGATGGGGTGCTCTGGACCAGCCCATCTCTCAATGCATAGCTTCCCTCTGCATTTGGTGTCTGCTTGAGGATGTGGAGCTGTGAGGGCCTCTCCAACGCTTTGGCAGCCCATGGAATATTGTTGCTTCACACTGATTACTAAGAGATTTTCTCTGCCTGCCTTGTAACCTCACCAGCAAACCCAGATTCTGCCCTCAGGAGCTACACAGTATCCAGACTCAATCCCTGGTCTCTATATTATGCTTTAGGACGTTATTTAGAGACATCTGTGCTCTATCCTGTTCCCCTTCTCTGGCCTCCAAGATCCCTAGTCTTTTAGATACTTCTCAGGTGAATTAGTTTTGAGACTACATCATTATCCTATTGACCAGGCAGGACTAGCACCGGTGATTCAATAATAGGATGAATCATCCTGTGATTAGGAGTGAAATTAATTCTACAGCTACCAAGGCTTATCTGGACCCTCAGAAGGATTAACAGGGAAACCGACAAACAGGTCCTTCTTCTCCATAGATTGCCTTGATGAGACTTATTGGATGTTGAGAGGGAAACTGTATGAGGCTAATGGAAGACCCGTAAGAGGAGCTAAGCCTTCCACTCTACTTGGATCTGGCATGGCTCTTGGCTGTAGCATTTCTTCACTCATTGTTGTCTGATCTCTTGAATACACTTAAGGATGTGGGGAGTCTTTGCCTCTCATGTTCTTGTTAGAATAGTAGACGGAGACAACTTGAAATTGAGACAGTGCAGATCACAGGGCCAGGGCAGCTAATTGGGTGATTTTCTATCTGTGCTGGAATTATGCAACAGGCAGCGAGATCATTTCATGGGTTAAGCAACAGATTGAGCCTCCAGAATACAGATTCTAATGGAGACTGAGCCATGGGAGGATGGATGCTTGCAGGAAGGTTAGGGTAAGATGGAGAGAGGCTGGATGGGTGGGAGGTAGGGGCATGGGAGCAACCTGATTAGGCGCTTACATTGAGAATCAGGATAAACCCAAGTCCAAACCCTGGTGCCACTATTTACTAGCTATGGGACCTACCTAGAGAGTAAATCTGGCTATGTCGTTGTTTCTTCATCTGTTAAATATGGGCAATGAAACCTGGCTAGTAGAGATGAGCTGAAAATAGTGAGATAACTTTTGCAGAGCGCTCAGCGTAGGGCCTGGCACATGGTAAGCTAACAATAAATGGGAGTTTGATTTTTATTTTTTTGAGATGAAGTTCCATTCTGTCACCCAGGTTGGAGTACAGTGGCAAGATCTCGGCTCGTTGCAACCTCCACCTCCTGGGTTCAAGGGATTCTCTTGCCTTAAGCTCCCTAGAAGCTGAGATTACAGGTGCCCACCACACCCAGCTAATATTTGTATTTTTAGTAGAGATGGGATTTCACCAAATTGGCCAGACTGGTCTCGAACTCCTGATCTCAGGTGACTCACCTGCCTCGGCCTCTCAAAGTGCTGGGAATACAGGTGTGAGCCACTGTGCCCAGCCAATAGATGAGAGTTCTTAATAGCCCTAATAACACACTAGTACTGAGAACACAAAGAGGTAACATAGGGAGCACTAAAGACCAAGATACGGTCTTTGCCTTCAAGTAGCCTATCTCTAGAAGCAATACATCCTAGTGGCTAAGAGTAAGGGCTCCTTAGCATTATCACCTCGGGCAAGTTACTTAACCTCACTGATTCCATTTTATCCTTCTGTAAAAGGAATAGCAGCAATGCATACTTCAAAGGACTAATGAGAGCATTAAATAAGATAGTATGCTTAGCATTCCTGGCATCAGGTAAGCGGCTATATTACCACTTACTCGGATAGTAGAAATTTAACAGGTAAAGACTGCTAGGGGGCCACATCTTTTTGCATCAACATGCTGGCAAAGAGAGGGCTGTACGTCAGCAACTTCCTGTAACAAGAGAAACCAGAAAGAAAGGGGGATAGTGGCATTGTAGGAAAATAACCGATCAATCTTTCCCTATTCTTTGTGCTACAAAGAACACCACTGTTCCTGAGCTACAAGGAACAGTTGCCAACTCAGGGAAACCAATGAGGCAAGACGCAAGGAGGAGAGGGCAGAGTGGCTGGTGGGGGCTCGGGACGCAGAGCACACAGCTAAGTCTCCGGCAAGGTGCAGAAGCAGGCACAGAGGTGCTGGGGCACTGAAACAGGGTTCAGGAAGGAGAGGGGAGCAGCTCAGAAGCTTCTCTAGGAGGGGATTCCAGTAGGCATTTAAAAGATTGTGTTTGCCCAGAGGACTTTCAGCTTCCCACTGGAGTCTGCAAGTATAATCACCAGGGCTGGCATCCCAGGTGTGGGAAGCTGTGCTTTTGGAATGCTCTGCTGTAGCTGTTGCTGTCTTGAAATTCTTTTGTTGTTGTTGTTTTTGTTTTGAGACGAAGTGTTGCTGTGTTGCCCAGGCTGGGGTGCAATGGCATTATCTCGGCTCACTGCAACCTCCGCCTCCTGGGTTTAAGCAATTCTCCTGCCTCAGCCTCCCAAGTAGTTGGGGTTACAGGCGCCTGCCACCATGCCCAGCTAATTTTTGTATTTTTAGTAGAGACGGGGTTTCACCATGTTTGTCGGGCTGATCTTGAACTCTTGACCTCAAGTGATCCACCTACCTCGGCCTCCCAAAGTGCTGGGATTACAGGTATGAGTCACTGAGCCTGGCCGAAATTCTTAATGAATTTTTAGCAAGCGCCCTGGGTTGTCATCTTGCATTGGGCCATGTAAATCATATAGCTAGTCTCATAACTAGTACATTAGAGAAACCAGGTGCTGTAGGATTTGCAGGAGAGTGAGGGTACGGAAAGTGGATCGTTTCTAGCTGAGGATGGACAGAGGGAGAGGAAAGATGGTATTGTGGACAGGGGACACTTTGAATTGACCCTGAAGGTTGGCAGGATTTGGACAGATAGAAATGGGAGTTTGGCTATTCGTTGGAAGGAATATGTTGGCAGAGTTGAAGGTAGGAGTATGGACCTTGCTTAAAGGGAATGGTAGAGATCCTTGTGAACCTGGAGCCCCTGCTCTTGAGGCGCTCACATCTGGAATACCGTGCTCAGCTGGCCTTTCTACAGGGAGCCTTTCAAGGCTGTTTATTTATTTGAGACAGAGTTTTTGCTTTTGTTGCCCAGGCTGGAGTGCAATGGTGTGATCTTTGCTCACTGCAACTTCTGCCTCGTGGGTTCAAGTGATTCTCCTGCCTCAGCCTCCCAAGTAGCTGGGACTTCAGGTGCACGCTACCACGCCCAGCTAATTTTTTGTATTTTAGTAGAGACCAGGTTTCACCATGTTGGCCAGGATGGTCTCAATCTCCTGACCTTGTAATCCTCCTGCCTTGGCCTGCCAGAGTGCTGGCATTACAGGCATAAGCCACCACACCCATAGGCGTTTTAAATCCTTTCCTCCAAGTGCCACTCTGCTAGGTGCCTGCCCAAGTAATAAATTAAATCCAGCCATGTTATTCATCGAAATCTCAAAGCAAGGGTAGGGACAAGCAGTTTTTTAAAGAATCAGAAATTTTCCATTGAAAATATGGTTCTTGAGGCTGGGCGTGGTGGCTTACATCTATAATCCCAGCACTTTGGGAAGCCAAGTTGAGAGGATAACTTACGCCTAGGAGTCTGAGAACAGCCTGGTAATATAGTCAGATGCTGTCTCTAGGAAAAACAAAAACATGAGCTATTGTGGTGGCATGCATCTGCAGTCCCGGCTACACTGGAGCCTAAGGTGGGAGGATTGCTTCAGCCTGGGACGTGGAGGCTGCAGCGAGCTATGATCTTGCCACTATACTCCAGCCTGGGTGACAGAATGAGACTCTGACTCAAAAAAAGGGGAAAAATTGTTATAAATAAAAGAAAAATACTTAAAATAGGTCAAATAATAGATCAAAGACAGACCAAGGGAAAAATCAGTTAAGAATCCCCATCAAGCTGGGTGTCATGGTATGTGCCTGACAGTTTCATCAGCTTCTAGGAATATCTAGTAGCTGATGAGACTACTAGGAGCCCAGGAGTTTGAGTCCAGCCTGGGCAGTGTAGCAAAACATCATGGAAAGAAAAGAAAAGAAAGAAAGGAGCAGAACAGAACAGAACAGAACAAGAGAAGGGAAGGGAAGGGGAAAGAAAGAGGGAGGGAGGAAGGGAAGGAAGGAAGGAGAGAAGGAAGGATGGAAGGAGGGAGGGAGGGGGAGGAAGGGGAGGGAGGGAGGGAAGGAGAGGAAGGAAGGAAGGAAGAAAAAGAAAGAATGAAAAAGAAAGAAAGAGAAAGAGAGAGGGAGGGAGGGAGGGAAAAGAAAAAATATATAATTCTCATCATCTAACTTTCTCTCTTGGTCTTGTATGTCATAATTCCTGTGTAGGGATTTGCACAGCTGGCACGTGGCAGAGGCAGAATTCTGAACAGGATCTAAATCCTGCCCCGTGTCCTGTGCCCTGCAGTGCGACAACTCCTGCTTCACTCCGTCAGGGTGGGTTTTCCCAAACAGAAGCCTGGACTGGTTCAGGAAACAGTGCAAGTGCTGGCACTTATAAAATCATCTAGAATCATGCCACAGTGACACAGATGAGAGACAACATAAAAAGAAAAAGGCGTTTTTCTTTTAAAAATCTCACCATTTCTACCTTCAACTGACTGTCCTGAGGTCTGCATTTGAAATTGTATGTCTATGAACATGATACGACTGTCATTATTTATGTTAACTCAGCATATCGTGAACGACATGCCAATGTACATTTTGTTGCATTCCTTGATTTGCATAAATATTGAGCTTTGACACTTGTTCAATAAGCTTGGATTTTTCTTTCCTTTTTTTTTTGATGTGGAGTTTTGCCGTTGTTGGAGTGGAAGGCTGGAGTGCAATGGTGCTATCTCGGCTCATGGCAGCCTCCGCCTCCCAGGTTCAAGCGATTCTCCTGCCTCAGCCTCCCAAGTAGCTGGGATTACAGTTGCCTACCAGCACATCCAGCTAATTTTTTTGTATTTTTAGTAGAGATGGTTTCACCATTTTGGTGAGGCTGGTCTCAAACTCCTGACCTTAGGTGATCTGCCTGCCTAGGCCTCCCAAAATGCTGGAATTATAGGCGAGAGCCACCGCGCCTGGCCAAGCTTTGATTTCTAATATGTGTCCCATGTCTGCTAAAAGTTTGAGCTCTAGCTCCTAAATTAAACAGGACAGAGTTGCATAGATAACTAGTATGTTCTGTGTACAGTCCCAGAGCCTCAGCCTCCTCCAAGCTGTGCTGCGGCTCTCTGGGTACTAGTGGAACAGGCCGCCACCTGCAGTGGGGCTGGCAGGCGGGACCAACAGGCCTGGCCTGGGAGCAGAGCCTCCGTGGTCAGTGGGAATGAGAGTGTCACTGAGACTTGGCTTGTGGCTCAACCCTACTGTGAACTCCTATCTGAGTTCTATTACAAGGAGGACCTGAAGAGGCTGTCCCCAGAGGACCTCAGGAAGTTCAGGCATCTCTGTTTTGATGCCTATTGACAGCTTGTAATACAGCAGAGAAAAAGAGACCTTCTTCTACAGTCTGCACAGATTTCTGTATGGCCCTGGGTGATTGTGGCCTCAGCTGGGGCAGGAGAGGGCAGGGTCCAGCAGTGCCCAGGTCAAGGAAGCGGTGCCCAGAATCAGGTAGCAGTGTCTAGGAGAAGGCAGCGGTGCCCAGGGCAGGCAGTCATGCCCCGAAGAAGAGAGTAGTCCTCTCCTAGTCCCTATGTCGTTTGATCACTCTTCAAAGCAGTGTCCACTCACTGTATACTAATACACAGCATATTTTGAGAAGTGAACAAAAAATACATTTAACCAAAAGAAATTTGAGAACATCACATTTAAGAAGGGATAGGAAATGGTTACCAAGGACAGTTTAAACCAACAGAGACTACACGTAAAGAGGAGATTGTAGAGAGGGGTGGCAGTATTATCTCTTTGTAGAAAATCCAAAACTAGCAGGTCAGGGTTCGGTGACTTTCTGATGTAATGAAGTTTAAGTTCAAAGTCCTTTTGTTATTCATGTGTCCAGGGAAACGTTATTGACTAGAGAACCCCAGCCGGGAATCGGGGGCATACAGTGTGACCTGGAGTGGATTGGGGGAGGGCCTAGGACACCCTAATTTCCTTCAGCACTTCTCTTCCTTTGCTGTGAATGAATGATTGGTGTTTTCTCAGTTGAACATAAAACGCTTTGTGAGCGTCGCTTTGTAACATGTCGGCTGCCTTCTCATTCCCACCTCACCCCCGGTCAGCTGAGTAGAAATTCTAACCCACCAGCAGTTACAAGCCTCAGTTCTGCCTCTGCTCTGCCACTCTCTGATGGTGTCCCTAACACACACACACAAACACACGCACGCCATGGGTGCTTTTCCATTTACAGGCCGGGCTGTTTTGGGGTGCACAAGGGCAGAGCCAGGGAACAGACTACTCTGGAAACAGGGCTCTAACCATGGCACTGCCAGACTTTGATTTTTTGCAATTCCTCCAATGACTTAGTTTTTTCCTTAGCCAAGACATTTTGTTAAGTATTAAAATAAGTGTGATTTAACATTCGTATCATTCTAACACTTTCATTCAGATACGTTCATCCACTAGAAAAGAAGCCACCCTTCAGACTGTCACGTGTCGGGTCTGGAGCAGCTACAACCTACTGCTGTCCTGACAGCACAGGCCTCCTTGGCACAGCTCTTCTGCTATGGCCTGCTTTTTGTGCTGTGAACAGCAGCGGCCAGGGTCTGGTTCTGTGCCATACATACCGGAGGTGGCAATGACATTTTTCAAAGGAGCATGTGTGTGAAGGAGGAGGAAGGGGAGGTGGGGAAGGTGGTGAAAGCCATGCTGCAGGAATGGAGAAAACCAGAACCAGGTCAGGCACGGTGGCTCACGCCTGTAATCCCAGCAATTTGGGAGGCCAAGGTGGGTGGATGACTTGAAGTCAGGAGTTTGAGATCAGCCAGGCCAACATGGTGATGCCATGTCTCTACTGAAAAGACAAAAATTAGCTGGGTGTGGTGACACACACCTGTAATCCCAGCTACTTGGGAGGCTGAGGCAAGAGAATTGTTTGAATCCAGGAGGTGGAGGTTGCAGTGAGCTGAGATTGTGCCACTGCACTCCAGCCTGGAAAAACAAGAGCAAAACTTGAAAAGAAAAGAAAAGAAAGAGAGAAAGAGAGAGAGAGAAAGAGAAAGAGGAGGGAAGGAGGGAGGGAGGGAAAGAGAGAAAGAAAGGAAAGAGAGAAAGAAGGAAGGAAGGGAAAGAAAGAAAAGGGAGGGAGAGAGAGAGAAAAAGAAAGAGGAAGGGAGGGAGGGAGGGAGGGAGAGAGGGAGAGAAGGAGGAAGGGAGGAAGGAAGGAAGGAAGAAAGGAAGGAAGGAAGGAAACAAACAGATCCACCTTCAGCAAACACTAGATCAGGATGCTGATAGATTGGAAGGCACTTCTTAAGCTGTGTGTTGGGAGGAGTCTGAGCTCAGGGACAGCTGCAGAGGGTGGACTGGAGCACAGCCTGCACTCCGACCCTGCACTGGCTGGAATCCTCTGTGTAGGGGCTGGGCTCTGAGCATCCTTGGTTACCCGGCGTCTCCTGAAGTTCATGCACATAGTGGCTGTTTAGTAAATATTTAATTAAACAATTGAGTATATTGTTTTAATCTTATTTTTCTCATTAAAAAAAAATCTACAATTGCTCCTGATTGTTTCCTTATACCAAATCAGAGCTTTCACAAGTGAGCTCTCCCTCTCTCCTTTTGATATAATTGTGCCCACTTCATCTCTACACCAGAGACGTGGGCTTTTCTCTGGCTGACAAGAGTACAGAGAGCCCCTGCCTGAGTCATATAGGGAGGGGTGAGCGTGAATAGGTCTGGGCACCACTTGGAAAGGGGAGTTAGTATGATGCCAGAATAACCTGGAAGCTGGACAGCAACCAATCAGTTTCCCTGCATGACTCTGCACAGCTGATAGAATGTGGCCAGGCGCAGTAGCTCACACCTGTAATCCCAGCACAGGGAGGCTGAGGCAGGTGGATCACCTAAGGTCGGGAGTTTGAGACCAGCCTGATTAACATGGAGAAACCTCGTCTCTACTAAAAATACAAAATTAGCTGGGCATGGTGGCGCATGCCTGTAATCCCAGCTACTCGGGAGGCTGAGACCGGAGAATTGCTTGAACCCAGGAGGCGGAGGTTGCAATGAGCTAAGATCGCACCATTGCACTCCTGCCTGGGCAACAAGAGTGAAACTCTGTCTCAAAGAACAAAAAAATAAAAGAAAAAGAATGTGCACTGGCTCCATCCTTTCCACAGACAGTGCACTCTCACGGAAACAGAGGAACGTTTTAAAAAATGTTGTCTGCTGGTTCTGGGCTTTCTGTCTTGAGGGTTTTTGTAGGCTATACCTTCAAGCTCAGATTGTGACAGGGACTCTGTTGCCAGCAGTCAGGAGTCCAAGTCAGCCAAAAATTGGAGGTATCACTGTTTACAGCAAACAATGAATATGTTTTATTATCTATTTTTATTTTATTTTATTATTTTTTTTTTTGAGACGGAGTTTCGCTCTTGTTACCCAGGCTGGAGTGCAATGGCGCGATCTCGGCTCACCGCAACCTCCGCCTCCTGGGCTCAGGCAATTCTCCTGCCTCAGCCTCCTGAGTAGCTGGGATTATAGGCACGCGCCACCATGCCCAGCTAATTTTTTGCACTTTTAGTAGAGACGGGGTTTCACCATGTTGACCAGGATGGTCTCGATCTCTTGACCTCGTGATCCACCCGCCTCGGCCTCCCAAAGTGCTGGGATTACAGGCTTGAGCCACCGCGCCCGGCTTGTTTTATTATCTAAATTGTAAAAATCCCTTAGTATTTATCATAAGGAGATTCATAAAATGAATAACAACACAACAAACAAAAAGAGACAAACAAAAATTTTAAAAAGAATAGAGCAAACAGGCCGAGCATGGTGGCTCCTGCCTGTAATCCCAGCACTTTCGGAGGCCAAGGCGGGAGGATCGCCTCAGCCCAGGAGTTCAAGACCTGCCTGGGCAACATAGTGAGACTCCCATCTCTCTATAAAAAAATTAATAAACAGCATTTCAAAATAACAATAAAGTTTTAAAGTAATTCAGCAAACAAAAGTGGGGTAATTTTGCCAACATATGATTAGAAAAAATATATAAAGATATTTTCAACCTCATGTCTACAAAAAATGCAAAAATTAGTCAGGCATGGTGGCTGCACCTGTGGTCCCAGCTACTTGGGAGGCTGAGATGGGAAGATGGCTTGAGCTCAGGAGGTCAAGGCTGCAGTGAGCCATGAGTGCAGTCCAGCCTGGGTGACAGAGTGAGACCCTGTCTCAAAAAAAAAAAAAAAAAAAAAAAAATATATATATATATATATATATATATATATATATATACACACACACGTATATACATATATGCATATATATACATATATATATTCCCCCCCCGAGGCCTCTAAGACCATAACCATTTAAGTAAACTATCTTCTTAGTATGTATAAGTGTTTAACATTATTCATTAAAATAAATGAAAAACTGAAATGAAAGCCAATTCTAATTATGCTTATGCTTTTGTCAAATAGTCAGTACATGGGATGATTTATCTTTAATAGGCCGGGCCTGGTGGCTCACACCCGTAATCCCAACACTTTGGAAGGCTGAAGTGGGCGGATCACTTGAGGTCTGGAGTTCGAGACCAGCCTGACCAACATGGAGAAACCCCATCTCTACTAAAATTACAAAAATTAGCTGGGCATGGTGGTGCATGC